GGGTCATATCAAAAGGAATGATACAAGAATATATGAATTAAGAATATGCATAATTCCAAGTTTTACCTCAAAGTTCCTGAATTCTGATTCGTCTTTCTCGTGACATTCGGTGCGATATGCCAGAGAGGGATCTGGACCCTATTAGTTAAAGTTTGTGTGTAAGAGATACAACTAATAAAACTTAGTCTACCAACTCAAACAGTGACACAGTCTGATTGAGTTTTCAGCATTGCAAAATGATCAAAAATGATTATTCATGTGTAATGCCTACAATTCTGCTTTACACACCACTGAGGAAATTATGATGCATGTATATGAATAATTGTCTGAATGTCAGGTACATACCAGGTTCACCACACTCATGGTTGAGCTGAGATCGTGTTGTTCAGGATGAAGGAGGGTGTTGTGTGTGTGGTGTCTCTGACTGCTCTATTTATCAATGCTGCACATATGGGGTCTCTGAACTGTAGTGGGAAAAACACTTTAACTTTCACTTTCACTTTAACTATCTCCACTTCACTTTATCTCTGAAGCTTCCAGGGGTCTGACAGTGTGCGTAAATGTGTGTGTTTGAGTGCTCAATACTGGGGTATCTTGGCCCAAATACAGTCAGTTTCAGAAAGGACACATTGTATGTAGGCATGGGCCGGTATGAGATTCTGACGGTATGATAACCTTAGATAAAAATAACACGGTATCACGGTATTGCGATTACAGCTCTAAAATATGTTATTTTTAAATGTCTGGGTAAAAAACAACTTTTTTTTTCTCCACTGAACACAATACATTTTATATAAATAAATTATTTTCTGTAAAAAAAAAAAAAAAAACTTCTGAATGAAAAAAAATGCAGTCACTTAAGTGAACCTAAACCTGCAGCTCAATAATCAAAAACATAAATCAAAACATAATTTCTGTAATAAAAAAATAAATCAATCAATAAAAAATTTAGTCATTAAACCTGCAGCTGAACAAGGTTTTTGGAGACATGCTCACTTTTTACACATTCCTCTTTCAGTCCAAGTTATGATGCAGGAATGTTCACCTTTCCTGGATTAAGTTTGGAGCGTTGAGGTATGAGGATGTGTGCACATACACATAAGGAAAGAGAAGAGCGCAAGTGTGTTACACACACACACACACACACACACACACGGTCTTTCTCCATACAACCCTCAAACAGTGGCAAAGACACCTGAGAGCCAGCAGTTTGTTTGTTTTTTTAAATGTCGTGATTTTGAACAGATCTTGATCGGGGGTGAAAGAGGGAGAAATGAAGATGACACAGATATATAATTTATGTACGACCTGGAAGTATTTATTTCTTAATGTTGTAAAAAAGGGTTTCTATTTAGGTAAGAGAGAGACATCTGACTAAATAATGCCTTTCCCTACGTTCAGTAAGTAAAAAGCACTATATGTCAAATTAATAGTAGGCTATGTTTGAAAACTCATTATACAGTACCAATAGGCAAAAATAACCATTACTTACTAATCAATACTTTTATTCAGCAAGGATGTATTAATTTGATCAAAAATGCCAGTAAAGACATTTATAATGTTATAAAAGGTTTCTAGCTCAAATAAAAGCTTTTTTTGTTACTTTCTATTCATCAAAAATTCCTGGAAAAAGTATTATGGTTTCCTCAAAAATATTAAGCAGCACAACTGTTTTCAACATTGATGATAATATTTCTTAATCAGCAAATCAGCATATTAGAATGATTTCCAAAGGATCATGTGACACTGAAGACTTTGCATCATAGGAATAAATTACTTTTTAAAATATATATTACAATAGAAAACAATAATTTTAAACGGTAATAATATTTCTGTTTTTACTGTATTTTTGAACAAATAAATGCAGCCTCGGTGAGCAAGATACTTCCTGTACAGACATTATAAAAACTTACCGACCCCAACCATTCGAACCGTAGTGTAACTGTTTATTAAAAATTGGTGTATTTTATCTTATTCTTGTTGCTGCTGTTTCCATAAAAAGCAGTAAGCCCTAAAGCCCATATGTTACATAGTTGTTTGTTTGTTTTTCTCCACAGTTAAAGGGGTCATATGATGCGATTTCATTTTTTCCTTTCTCTTTAGAGTGTTACAAGCTCTTGGTGCATAAAGAAGATCTGTAAAGTTGCAAAGACTAAAGTCTCAAATCCAAAGAGATATTCTTTATAAAAGTTAAGAGTTAGCCACACCTACCTAAAACGGCTCGTTCGAACACGCCCCCACATACCTACCTCACTATGTGGGAAGATTTGCATAAAGCCGCCCAAATGTTCACGCAAAGAAAGAAAGCATAACTTTTATTCTCGCTGTAGTATTGTTGACGCTGCAGCCATGTCGTGAAGACGCTGTGTGCTTCGTTGTGAAAGCGAAACCACTTTGTTTGGTCTTCCAAAAGAGGACGATATCCGCTTCGCCATGCCTAGAGCTGATCTGTGCTGGTCGCTGAGGAAATACATCAACTTAGTGCTGTGGATCACCGGATATGCTTTCACCGTTTTCACCGCTCCTTCGCCAGGACCGCCGTTCTCGACCCCGCCGCCTCAGCTCACTCTTGCCCACAGTATGTGGAAAATAATGTGTTTTTTTAACTTTAAACCGCATAAACACATTTCATTACACCATATACACAAAATAATGTTATTTTTAGCAGCATCATATGACCCCTTTAAGATTTTTTTCTTTACTCCAGTGTCTGACTACTCCAGCATCAGTGTCATTGTTTTTGGGTCATGGTGGGTTATTGATAATATCACTCATGTCACACAATAACCGTTTGCATTTGTTTTGTTTATTGAAACAGCTAAATCATATTAAAATACACAGCACTGACACATAACTACAAACAGTCATTATACACTTGCAAAATATTTACACAAGCTTTTGTTAACTTAGAATTAAATAACATCTCTTCCATTCAAGTCAATGACATTAAAGAAGGAAATCGATCATGTCACTTTTAAAGTGCTTTATGTTTAATAGAAACATTTGACCTATATGTGAACATGAGGATAGCAGACACTCCACCACTGACACACTATGACAAACTGAAGGTGTGTGTGTGTGTGTTTGTTTGGCCAGAGGATTGTGTTTAAATTTGTTGCCTATGTTTTATTTGTGATTTTTATGTTGTGAGACTGGCATGTGCAACGTACACCATCAGACAGTGTTGAAAGTTTGAGAGCTTTATGGATAAAGATTTGACATTTTAAAAGTTTAAATGGGAATATACAGTGGTCCCAAAAGGTATGTGGACACATAAAGTGGCTGTGTAATTTTTCAAAGTGAAAATACTCTCTCCAATCCTAGTGTAAAGTGCAGAGACAGCTGTAAGTAAGACTTTAATTTCCCTGAAGAGTGTAAACAGTGTGGGTCTGTGACGCTTGTAACATTACGCTGTTGGTTTGAGCGGCCTAACAAGTTGACATTGGCTCAGCCAATGGTGTGAGTTTGAGGTGGGACTATCTGTTTTTCCAGCCAATGGCTGATGGGACGAGAGTTCCGGAAACCTGTTTAAAAACAGTTACCATTAAAGGGATAGTTCACCCAAAAATGAAAATTCTGTCATTAATTACTCACCCTCATGTCGTTCTAAACCCGTAAGACCTCCGTTCATCTTCGGAACACAAATTAAGATATTTTTGATGCATTCTGACAGCTCTCTGACCCTCCCATAGACAGCAAGGGTCCGGTAAAATAGGAGGAGATCGGTAAAATAATCATCAAAAATAAAAAGCATCAAAAATATCTTAATTTGTGTTCCGAAGATGAACGGAGGTCTTATGGGTTTAGAACGACATGAGGGTGAGTAATTAATGACAGAATTTTCATTTTGGGGTGAACTAACCCTTTAAGATGACAAAATATTAAAGTGAATGGTATTTGCAAGAAAATACTGCGCTTTTCTCAGAGCTAACTGCACTTTCTGTGGCATTTTTACAATTTTAATCAACTTGTGTAGCTCATTTAATTTAATCTGAATTCAATTTAAACAACTTTGATTAAAATTTAAGTTATTCACTGAAAAAAATTGCTCTTTTCTGTACGCATCTGTTAAAATATGGGGCCTTTAGTTGCAACGTGTCAGGATTAACATAATTGTGACATGACCAATAATCATTGAATTAGAAAGAACCCAAATACATTTTGTCTTCAATTTAAACAGTAGTTTTTTTTATCCATCTTTCTTTAAGCATCACTTAGTTTGATATTTTATCTAATGCAGTTAGATTCATAAATAAGTGCAGCTTACAGGATGTTTACTCTTAAGATGTTCACATTGAAGCTCTGTTCGGCTTTAGGTGGCTCAGTCAAGGCCGATTTGTCCTGGCTTAGAGAGCGAGAGAAAGAGACGGCAATCTTCTCAAACAGTGTGGGATTACTGTAAAGATAATGAAGGTTCAAGTCGATTCATTACAGAAGGGCATGAATTATCAAAAGTGGGAAACCACTTAGGCGGGACTTTCACCTGAATTTGGCCTTTAGAAAAGGACAATTGATTGTTAAATGGGGACATATAATGTTTACGATTTTATTCTCTTCCCTGAGATCCACTAGTAGTGTTTTCTATTGGTTCCAAAGTTGCATTACTTTAAGACATTAAATAGATTCATTAAACAATCCATGCTGAGATGAAAACAGACCGTTTAGATCAGAAAAAGAAACTCCAGACGTATCTGCAGAGCTGTAGGTGCTACACACAGTCAGGAACAGCACAAGGTTTCTCAAACGTTCCCTCATTTACACTTACCGTTACTTCTTCTGGTGTTTAAGAGTAATATAGTATATATCTAACATCCTCCTTACTACTCCATATGAAGGCCAGGCCAAGTTTCTGAACATTGAAATAGAAGCTTGCATGTTAATCTTGGCGATCATAATGTATGCTAATGTTAGATGACGTCAGAGTTGCAGAAGTTCATAACGAGTTGTTTTTGTGGTTCCGTTTCAATAGATGCTTGTTTAGGGGAAGAAGTTTAGAGTTCTTAAAGTTACAGTAAGCACATTGAACTCTTTTATTTCAAACGATCAAGAGAATTTGATTTCTCATGACAGGACACCTGTAAATTTTTTACGCCAGTTGTTGAGTTGGTTGCCCGCTGGTGTCGGTGGTCTTCTGTTGTCACATTTTTGGATAGGTTTTTGCTGTGTGGTCAGTCCTAGTCTTATCCATAACTATGTGGACTTCTGGGATTGATTGGTGCATCTTGCCGTCCGTTTTGTCCGTTCAGCTGGTAGAGACGGTGGCTGAGGTTTTGTACCTGGCATGTGCCGAGGACGCATCCCACACGCTTCAGCTGACCCTGTGGGTAACTGCGTGACCCTCTGAGGACGTGCCGATATTCCCGGAAATGTTCCCTGTTTTGATTGGCCGGTGTGTTGGTCTGTTTCAACGGGGGTCCTTTATGCAGGAGGGCCCTCCAGACCGCACGGCGCTCTCTTGCCCCGGCACTCGAAGCTATTGAAGGAATGGTGATGGTTTCCATGGCGATACCACCCTGTGTTTCTGAAAGCTTCCCGGGTTTGCTGGGAAAACTCGATCTGGTGAGAGAAAGAGAAATAATTTGGTTGACCACCAGTGGAGCACATGCATGCATTGACTAGATGTATTTAAATACATCATTCAGACATTCACATAGAAGCTGATGTAGGTTAAGTATTATAGTAGAGGCTTGGCAGCATTAAGACCATTTTAGGTGGAGTATTTGAAGCCTGTTATTAATCAAGCGTTTCTCTGGCTGTAGTCCAAGTTATTTGTGGCATGCACTAATATTCCCTCACTCTAGTACACACTCCTTCACGTGCTTCAGTCTGGCTCCTCAGGAGGCATTCAGAGCGTTTGTTTTTTGTTAGAATATCGATAAAGAAAAATAAAAGAGAGGGGATATAAAATTGTTAGACTGAGGTCTCTACACTATGTTAGAGGGATTCTGTGGCTGTTTGGCACTATATTTGCTATTAATTTAGTTATTTTATATGTAAAAGTTATTTAAGGTGAAGTTTGTAATTGCTGTGTCACTACACTGTAAAAAATGATTTTCCGAAGTTATAAATTGAGTAGAAGATTGAGTATGTTTTCAAGAAAATACTATTTCAGTCTTTCTGTTTCAAAATTCCACATTTAATTTGATAGTTTTTCTTGTTTCTTTGTAATTATTTGTGATTATTTGACATTTCTGAGTGAATATTTTTTCAAAGTAAATCTTGCGTCATTTTTTACAAGTGTTGCGGCACATTAATTGCCTATATAATATTATTTTCCAATTAAATTCCAAACATCTGCCATTGTTCAGCCAGACAGGTAATCCTGTGGTGTTGGTTGAGCCAGACACTCACATGTCAGACCGCTTAAACACCTCTGTGTTTTTTAGCTCATAAGTAAACTGGCACTATTAACCATCATGCACCTGGCAGAGATTTACATCCTTGCCAAACCTGCAGGTGAGGGAGATTATTTGAGATTTTCTTTTTTTTATAAATGATAATGTTTCAAATATTTAAATATCACATCACACTATAATTTTTTATGCAGATATATTTGATATATTTGTGAATTCTAAGCATGATATCAGAGTATCTGTATGTATGTGTCCGTGTGTAGTTTTCAGTGGGTGTTATAGGCTGTTTGTCAGTGTATGTGTTTATGTTGTGTATTAGTGTGGGATATAGGGTAGTACTTTAAATCTAATCTGAATCAGAATGTTTCTGAACAGGATTAGTCTGGACTTGTAGTAGCATAACACGCACACGATCACTGTATCTTTTCCTTTTTCTATTTAGCACCCAAACTCTGGAACAATCTACCTAGCGTTGTTCAGGAGGCAGACACACTCTTTCAGTTTAAATCTAGATTAAAGACCCATCTCTTTAACCTGGCTTACACATAACACACTTCTATAACTCAAATCCGTTAAAGGATTGTTAGGTTGCATTAATTAAGTCAACTGGAACCGAGACGCTGGGGTTGAGGACGCTTATGGGAAGTCGTGGCCTAATGGTTAGAGAGTCGGACTCGTAACCCAAAGGTTGCGGGTTCGAGTCTCGTACCGACAGGAATTGTAGGTGGGGGGAGTGAATGTACAGCACTCTCTCCCACCTTCAATACCACGACTGAGGTGCCCCTGAGCAAGGCACCGAACCCCCAACTGCTCCCCGGGCGTCGCAGCAAAAACATGGCTGCACACTGCTCCGGGT